AACTGCTCTGTGCCTCTGTCTCCTCATCTGTAAATGGAGATGGTAATAGTAGTAAACTCCATGAGTTGTTGGGAGGATTAAAAGAATTAGTTTTTGCAACATTGCCACAGTATTACAGAGCTTGGCACATGGGAAGCACTCAGTATGGTGGTCTCCTCTGTGAGACACCACGTGGGCTCTCTTGACTCTGCCACAACACCTCCAAAGAGTGGGTTCTTATCCTTTTTTAAGTCTGCTTGTTTCATTTTTAGATGGCTTGAATTATTAGAAACCGTGATCAGACATTGAGCCAGAATCTTTCAATTTCTTGAACAGTTATTAAGGTTGTATTGTCCAATATGGTAGCCACTGGCCACATGTGGCCACTGAACACTTGAAGTGTGACTAGTTTGAGCCGAGCTGCGCCATTACTGTAAAATACACATCAGATTCCAAAGATCTAGTATGAAAAAAGTTAAAATATCTCTTAAATCATTTTTATATTAGTTACATGTTGAAAGCATACTATTTTGAATATATTTTTTTAAATAAAATTTATTAAAATTAATTTTGCTGTACTTTTTTAATGTAGCTGTTAGAAAATGTAAAATCAAATATGGGGCTTATATTTGTATTTCTACTAAACAGCACTCTTCTAAGAAAGGCAAGGAGGCCATGTTAATAGGAATAAGGAATATTAAGAACTTTTTTGGAATATAAAGAATCCAGTAAAATCTAGAAATATGCTAGAATTATTTCCTTTAGGGTTACTCCTGACTCTACTTTTAACTAGAGAATAATAAATGGAGGAGGGATAAATAATTTCACAAAGGTACCTTCACAGCTAAACTTTATTTAAGACAGAGACCCATTGCTTTATCAGGAAATCTACTCTTGGGAATGGTGAATTCGATAACTCTTGGATCTCTCCTACGGCTAGACTAAGAGCCCTCGTTTTTAAAGGAGCCTTAAAAAAAAAAATCCCTGATCATTTCATAGGGTGGGTGATGATCCTCAGATTTATCCCCTTTTTCTTTTGTGAATTTATATTTTCGTTTTTACTAAAAGGTGATTTATCCCAAGCTATGGGCTACAGTAGAAATGTCCCACATTTTGCTGTTTTCATAATGGCTAGAATCTGTAAAGATACCGAATCTTAACTAGCTTAAGCTGACTTACATTAGGGATATTTCTGTGGTTTGATTTTATGCTAATTTTCTGGGCATTGGTTACGTAACGTGTGATGAAGAGAGTATTCGGTTAAACGGAAGACCTCATTTCCTGGCCTGTCTGGTAATAGTGGAGTTTGCTGTATTTGAGAGCCTGAGCTCTCACCATATCCATATATGTTTGTATTTGCCCAGGGCTAAAATCACACTGATCAAGAGTCAGCTGAAGAGTAGACTGCTAGGAGATCTCTGGCCTCTGAATTTTGTATTGCTTTTTGCCTTTGTAAAGATTATAACGTGAGATCTTGTTCTCGTACTGTCAGTTCTATGAGGCAGACTGGCACCAGTGTCTGTTTTCTAGATAGAGAGATTGTAGGTGAAATAATTTCCCGTCTTAACTTGTAAGTCTTCATCTTTCTGGATATTTGAGTGAGCCGTACAGCCTCAGAAGAGTGATTTTTCTCCCCCCCACCCCCCTTGGCTATGAGGTTTGCTTCTTGGGCCTTTGTTACACTCTACAGTCACTTTTCTGATACTTTTATGAAAGATGGGCTAGGCAAATGAAGATGGGGCAGTCGGGTCAGTTACAGAAACCCCAGACCTGCCCAGAGTAGAGGTGGATTGCACACAAGTTGTTCGCCAGGGTCGTCCAACTCATGTCGAGTGGTTTATTTTCCAAAGCCGTTGGAATGAAATGGCATCAAGTGCTGTTTCGGAGTCTGCTTCTAGTCATCTTTTGAAGCATTTTCCATGCCTCACTGAAAGTTTTAATGCTTAAGTGTAATTCCTGTCTGTTTTATGTGGAGGCATACCAACTCTCTGTTTCTTAATTTACAACCAAAATGCTAGCTCTGACAGGCAACCTATTACAACGTAATGCAAGATATTTTAAACTCTTGCTTCTGGATGATTAACTCTTCAAAATGCTTAAGATAAGATCGTGGATTTAATCCCTGGTAATTGCCAAGGCTGCATCTGTAACCCTTGCAGATAGATCAGAGCTGCGCCATTGGTCGCAAAACTGGAAAAACGAAGTCCTCAAAGAATCTTTCCCTATTCATAATAGCTCATGTGGGGGATACCACCATCTCTACAGGTAAATGAACAGACAAACGACAACAACTCAAAACTATTTTTAAAGGCCTTCACTAGAATCTTTTTCTTTGTACTGAAGAGGGATCTTACTTTGGCGCTAAAATATTCACACACGGATCTACCACTGAAGAAACTAGCGTATTTTTGAGTGGATGCATGCATTTCTGCTTCCTCCGTTAAAATGAAAAACTCCAAACCAAATAGACCACGGAACCACTCGTATGAAAATGTCACCTTAGTGTGCCTCTCTCTATACTGTTTCTTAGTAGTGCATTTTTAGTCATTGATTCAGAGATGTGGTTCCTTTCCCTGGGAATTGATTCTTCTTTTTTCTTCATTGCAGTGAGCTCATTGCAGAACTCAAAGCACCAGACCTGTTTTCCAAAGAAAGCCAGAGAAATTAAATGGGATTTATAGCTCACCCCGAGGTATCATGAGGATTAGCTAGACCTGGCTTAGGTTTGCAGCTTCAGAGAGAAATAAAAGTGCCTGGGGTATTTACTTGGGCGATATGATGGATCCTTTTGGTCAGGAAGGGCGTGGTTTCTATTTGGAATCACCCTACCACACTCTCCTGAACCATGTGGCAGTGGTTAGCAGGGAAGCTCAGCTTTCAGGTTTCAGTGGGAGTTTAAGTTGGCAAGTCAGTTACGAACCAGCCTGGTGTGGTCCCAGCTGGGCCTGATGGGATTAATGGTCCCTTGCCTAATACACAGGAAGTTGATGGATGCACATGCTCGTTTCAGTGAGAGGTTAGTTTCTCATGCCTTTTCCTGGGAGCCACTGTATAGACACAGCGGAATAAACCTGCACTGCATCAGAAACTTGAATAGAGCAGGCCGAGAACTTTGAGACAGGGTCTTTCTCCTCTGTTGAATACTCCAGGGTAGGGATTTAGCTAGAGGAAGAATGGCAGGGATGGTAGGGGGGTGGTTGGAGAAAGTTACTTTGGGCATAGCTTCACAAAACGGTGTGGGAATGGGGATCTCGTAAATGGAAATTCTTTTCCACGAGATAACGGGATTCAGCATCTCTAAAATTAGGTTATTCTGGCCCTTTAGGGAGGAACTCTCACAATTCTCCCTTGTGCTGGACACCCCGTTTCTTGAGTAGTAATGTATTTCATTGGATAAATGCATAGTAGGTCACTCAAATATTCTGTGTCCTCTGGAAAATACCATATTGCAGCAACAAAAATATCTTATGCCATGAATTAGGTTTTTGCCGTAGAAGTGGTTTATGTCGTTATTCACAGTTCTGTACTGTTAATTATGGCTCAGGACTGGTACTGTGACTTCTCTTGTACCTCATCCTCCTTTTCATTATATGCATGTGTGCGCCATGGAATATTCTTTATCAGGGTGCTTTTTGGGGAAAGATCAGATTTAATGATTGGGTGGGTGAGAATGAGAAAAGGAAATTTAAAATGCTAGCCTTCAGGGGCGCCTGAGTGGCTCAGTTGGTTAAGCGTCTGCCTTCGGCTCAGGTCATGATCCCAGGGTCCTGGGATCGAGCCCTGCATCGGGTTCCCAGCTCAGCGGAGAGCCTGCTTCTCCCTCTCCCTCTGCTTGTGTTCTCTCTCTCTCTCTCAAATAAATAAAGAAATCTTTTAAAAAAATAAAATAAAATGCTAGCCTTCAAAGCACAGGAGCAGTAAAAATTTTAAAAACTTTTTTTTTTTTTTTTGGCAAAATTGATTGTAGAATGTTTATGCAGTTAACGTGGAACCGTTCTATTTTCAATTTTACTCATTTGAGTGGATGTTGTCATTTGAATGAAGTATGATCATAAAATTATACCCCCAAATGTCAGGACTGTTTTAGTGAAAGTTAATAAATCATGGTTTGGCCTGTGAAGCAACTGCAAAGCTTGTCCTCCCTTTCTCCGCTCAGGCTTATAAAGGGGCTCTTTTCCAATGAAAATAACTGTTACATAGTATGTTACTATTTATATATATATTACCTCATTTATTCTATGCACACTCACTCCTAGCCACCCCAAAGGCAGTGGCATACCCTTAAACAGCACTGTGCACCATTCAGGAATTCAGTAGAATGCAGAACTGCCTTGGACCCTTTTCAGACAGTTTATTAAATTAAGTACCCCGATTACCTCATTTTCACATTAGCTTAAGTCTACATCATAGATCCCCTAGGACAGCATCAGGGGTATGTTCCCGGGTCCCATAAACACCTGTTAAGCCTCTAAAGAAAATCTTAGGGGAGGCACTATTTTGTGATTTTTTTTTTTTTCTTACACCTTTTAGGTTTTTATGTTATTTATAGGCCTTCCTCTTCTCCTTTTGCCTGCTTTTTCCTCATTTATTTCCAGATAACCTCTGTCTTCTAATTCTGTGGTTCATGGACATGCCGGGAGTGCCAGCAGAAAACCTGCTTTCATTCACCAGTGTCGATGGTGACGATGGTGATGATGAGGACAGTAGCAACAGAAAGCTCCATTATTATTTTTTTTTTTTAAAGATTTTATTTATTTATTTGACAGAGAGAGACACAGCGAGAGAGGGAACACAAGCAGGGGGAGTGGGAGAGGGAGAAGCAGGCTCCCCTCAGAGCAGGGAGCCCGATGTGGGACTCGATCCCAGGACCCTGGGATCATGACCTGAGCTGAAGGCAGTCGCTTAACCAACTGAGCCACCCAGGCGCCCCAGAAAGCTCCATTATTGAAGGAGTTATTAACCTGTGCCGTGCGCATGGTTTAAGACAAGATCTCATTTATGCTTCTCACAGCCTGTGGGCGATGGCTGTAAGCGTCCTCCCCATCTTACAGATGAGAAAGCTTTGACACTCTGGAGGCTCAGCAACTTGTATGGAGCTATTAAGACAGTGAGTGCAAACACTGGGAGATGAACGGACTTCATAGCCTGTTTTCCTTCTGTTCAGCCACATTTCATTTCCTCTACACCACCCATCACACTGGAATAGCTAACAGACTCCCTGAAGTTGGAAAGTGAATGATAGGGTCAGAATTTGCTCAAGCAATTGGTCCAAGCTGATGGAAATAGAACCTTGGCTCTGTTGGTTGGCATTCTGTTGCTCGAGAAATGCATAGATTCCTGCTGTGAACTTGCCCTTTAGAACATCATGGAGCGGTTGGTGAAATCCTTGTTCTCATCTGAAGACACATGCATTTGAAAATATCCTGTAGAGTATGTGGGTCGGTAGCTTTATAAGCAAGGACATGTCTGGTTTTCTAGTGAAGTCAGAGTCAAAACTTTTATTACAGATTTTGGTAGGGCTGTGGCAGGGATTGATCTGTGGTCTCATTGAGGAGACAGCCAGCTGCAGTGGGAACATCGGCACAAGAATGCCTTTGGAAATTAGACATCGCAATGAAAACATTCTTTTGAAGGCAGATTTCCAGGTGTGCTGTAAACCGTTCTGAGCTCTAATTGAAATATAAAAGAATATTTCAAAAGCAGTGATCTATTTTTTGGTGATTGTTGTGCTAATCCTGAAATCCTAGCACGAATTAATGTAAAGACAGGATTGGATGCATAAAAGTACCTGTTTTAATCATTTAGCACGTTGTTCAAAACTAAACTGGTTGAGGCTCCAGGTCTAAGGGTGAAAATCTCACTTTTATCTATCAAATCCCACCATGGTCTGCCAAGAACAGTCACCAGGGGCTTCTGTGGCAGCTGTGAAGACATCCTTCCATTCTCAGAGCTTGATGTGTGGGAGAGATTTGCTGTAGTTCATGTATAATGACGTGGTGGAGGCTGATGTTTTTCAAAGTGGTTCATTAAAACTCAAAATGAGTGAATCAGTTTTCTTTTAAGCCCTGCTACTGCGTGTGGAAATAGTCTACAGTGTGGAAGCCTTCAGCTGGCAGAAGGTTTTGTCCTAGGAGTTGACTAATAAGTTACTTTGCAGCAGGTGCAAGAACTGTGTTTGCCTTTGCCAGCATGTTCCACGTGAGATCCTGAGGCATTCAGAAGGCACAGGAAAGTCAGCCTTGGGAGCGTAGGAAAAAAGCCAACACGGCCCCCACCCTGCACTCACCCCCCTTTACCAAACATAGGTGCATCAGTACCCATGTGGTCAAACAGTAACCATGGGTATGAATCCTGCATCAGATACTCAGTGTAGATTGTGTGCATGTGTTTTCTTTGAGCTTGTCCCAAAGTTAGAAAGTAAAAGCTGGATCCTCGTGTATGAGCTGGAGAACCAAACGTGACATAAGGTGCTGGAGTGTTGTTTTCCTGTGCAGTCGTGGGGTACCCCTTATAAGCATAAACTGATGCTATTTTACCCTTTTATCTAGACGCACTACTTTGGCCTTTGGTTTCTCAGCAAGAGCCAGCAAGCACGATGGGTGGAGCTGGAGAAACCTCTGAAGAAACATCTGGACAAATTTGCTAATGAGCCTCTGCTTTTCTTCGGAGTCATGTTCTATGTGCCAAATGTGTCATGGCTTCAGCAAGAGGCCACAAGGTAGGTGCCTTTTTTTCCCTGTGTTCCGTATAAGGGTGTGTTAATTGTGGGGCTTCAGATGAAGTCGATGAGCAGGTTGATTGAGGGGTGTGTACGTGTAGGTGTGTGCAGTCGGGGAGAGGGTGGAGCAGTTGGGGATTGTTACGGTTGCTTTGCAGCTTTAGAAATGTGGTTCGAATCCATGGTGCTCATAACCCCGGTCGTTCCCTGTGATGCTGTAAGGTAGCAGTGATCCTGAGGCAGTTGAATATGGTGTCCAGCAGCATAGAAGTATCAGTTGGAGACTGTGGGTAAAATAGATGTGCCAGAATTTAATAAAGAATTAACCACCTCATATTTGTCTGGTCTACTCTTTCCCTTAAAATGCTCCCAAGCAAAATGTAGCATCAGACTTTGGATTTGAGGATTGAGAAGGTAACTAAAGATGGGAGCAGAGTTGAGGAGAATGTCTAGAGGGCGAGAGTTTTACTTGTCCACGGTCACATAAGAAGGGACAGGAAGCCATCGGTAGAGAGGAGACCTCGGATTGGTCCTCCCCTCCTGCTCATTGGCTGTTTTGCCTGGAAGAAACCACCTGCCATCTTTGAAATGGTACTTTTCGCTCATCTGTAAAGTGATGGATTTGCATATGTTTCTCAAGTTCTGCTAAGTCTGCAGTTCCATGAATGAAACACTTGGTGTTGGTTGGTGTTAGTATAGTTCCCTTATTGGTAAGAGTTTTCCATTAAATTATGCAGAGGGGGCATATCTCCTCATCAAATGGTTCTTTCTGGTGATAAAGGGAATTAAATTAACCCTCAGTTTTTCACCTTGTACGTAGATGATGGCATTCAGAGTACCTGGCAAGCGATGCTAGTGACATATCGAGAAGGAAGGAGCAGTGTTGTCCTTGACTATTGCATGTGTAGTTTCTTAGATTTTAAACTTTTAAAACAAGGATGCACTTCAAATTTTTGTATACATTTTACGGTGATAGTTTCCATCTTTTTTTTTTTTTTTTTTAATCAAAAACTATTGTTAACTAGGTGGAATTTCTGTCAGCAGAGGCCATGAAATAGCTCACAGCCTGATCCAGAAAACCCGTGTTCGGTCTTCCAGGTGTCATTCATTTGAAGCCCTTGGCTGGATGTCGTGCACCATTTTCAAGTTTGTTCACTTACGCAGGTTCCTTTCCGTGCAAGAAGTTATTAACTCTTCAGAATGGGACAGTTTTCCCTGGCTTCTGAATCCTCATTGAGTACTCTACCACAGGGTACTTAACCTAACAGCATTAGGTTAGGTCCTTGCTGATTCGCAGCTCTCAGACTGTGAAATGCAAGGCAGTGGGTAACAAGGATGAAACACGGACCGTAAATTAATGCCTATCAGGCAAAGTTCAGTCTGTAAAAAAAAACAAAGTGTTGCTACTCTGGACATACTTACTCTGTAAGGTCTATTGTTGAGGAAGAGCAGTTAAAGTAACTGGTGAGGGACTCAGCAGTTGTGCTTTATGAAGCTAAAACAGGTTGATAAAGCTTAGAAAAATGAAGACTTGCAAGAGTGCAGTAGCTTTCCCTGGAAATTTGAAGACTTGTGGGGAGGGGATTTTGTGTTAACTCTGGAGCACAAAATTTGGGCCCATAATAAGTGAAGTGCAAGGAATTGAAAGACTTTGGTTATATGACTCAACTCAGGAACACTGTTTCTAATGATTAAAACTGTAAAAATGTGGAACAAGCAGACTTCTGAAGGGGTGAGTGCCCTGGTTTATAGTGCTGTGGCATTGAGTGGATAGATGGGAGACCACCATATTGGGTTGGGTGTTGGACTAGATGAGTAGTTCTCAGACTGACTAGGGCCTGCTAGATCACAGTTACTGGGAGCATTTACTATAAATGTGATTCTAGGGCTGTAACAGAAGTCTGAATTGGAATGTCTAGGGCTGGGGATTAGGAGACTATATTGTTTAAAATAAACAATATTCTTCAGGTGGTTCTGATATTCATCCAGACTCAGTAATTAACAAATTAGTTAACCTCTAAAGCTCTTTACAATTTTAGATTTTCCAGGCAAGTAGACTTTCATGCCAGGTTATTTGACTGTCAATATTTGCATTCACAAGCTGACACAGAAAGTGTTTAAATCTCAAAAATTGATGTAAGAATTATGATGATAGGGGTTGAGACTGGAGATCAGGAAGGACTTCTTTCGTTTTTCTTTAGAATTTCTTTTTTGCTCAGTTAGTTTGGTTCATTTCATGTGTTTTGGTAAGGAGTGAATGAAGTCTTTTCCAACCCAGGATTTTGAAGCGAACTCTGTTACTGTCCTTTGATCAGAAAAACTAACAAAGAAAATAAAACTTGAAGGACGTTTTTAGACTTAAACACAGAACTAAACTGTATAGATGTAAGACACAACCCTCTCTTTATGGCAAAAGACGTTTAAGTTAGGAGCTAGGTTAGCGTGAGGAGTTGTGGGTTTTTGTTTGTTTGGTTTTTTTTTTTCCCAGCGTTGCAGAAATTTTTGTTGCTCCAAGGAGCCCAAAAACTGGAATGTGCCAAGGGATGTCAGAGCAAGTGAAAGACTAGCTGGGGAGATGAGGAAATAAGAAAGAAAAGTGTTAAGTACAGAAAGGAAAATTGATGGGGAAAGAAAGAGAGAGAGAGAGAATGGCATATACTTGGGAAGTGACCCAGGTGTGATTCATGAGATGTACCCTGGGTTGTGGGCGTATGGACTAGATAAGAGTACAAAGGAGACCTGGTTTGGCCAGAATGCCATTTTAAAATGCTCACGGTTCCTGGGTTTGGTGTTAGAGACCAATAAATGAGCTGAACTCAAGGTGAAGAATGCTACTAATGGTCATTAGGAGCTTTTGGGAATCTGAGCCTTCTTGGGAGGTTTTAGAAGCATCGGGGTCCGAAATGAATACTGAAACCGTCTTCCAGGCAGGGCAGCCAAGGAAGAAGCAGTGGTGTTAGGGCAGGATTCCAGAGGAATGTTTCACAGAAGGCCCCGACAACATTCATTAGGAGCTGGTTAGTGACTAACTCTTCAGCCATTCGCTGTTATCCCAGTTACCAGGCATCTCAGGTGGAGCTGTGCTTTGGCATCTCTGAGCACCTGGGATCTGCCACTCTGACAAAAAACAGTTAGTCTTTGCGATGCCCCGCAGAGTAAGATATTTGCATAGATTAGAAATAGGAATCTGTCTTTGATTGTGGGCAACCCGTTTGGAGGAGGCAGCCATTCAACCATCTGTGCTTAAAAAATAAGCCTTTGTCTGGAGCCAGCCAAACTTCTTTTCACCCAACACATGTTTGCAATGGTTTGGCTACTTCTCTTTGAGAATAAAACAGGTTCTATGGCATTAGTAGGGCCCAGCCATTTCTTCTTTCTGAATAAGGACAGAGTTTCAAATGAGTACTCTAGTTGTTTTGGGGGGTGGGTGTATGTGAACCCACATATATCGAGACACATAGCAGTGGAAGGAACATATATTTAAAAGTTGTGTATCTCGTCTCTTGTCCCCAGACAATCCCACCCTTGAAAACTTGCAGGTTAATAGAATACTAGGAACAACACAACAAAAATTTGAGAATGATGTTGATTGTAAACTATCTCAGAAAGTGATTGGTTTATGAAAATTATCAGGCCCGGCTTTTTGAAATTAGAAAACTGAGAAGCTCTGCTTTTTTTGACATTCATTTTGACATACTGTGTTTCATCTCATCTCCTGGATATGACTTTTGAAAAACAAATCTCTTCATAAGAGAAGGAAATCTGCCAACCAACATACTGTGATTGAGTTGGAGAAGAAATGGACAATTCAGGCCCTACCTTTAGGTGATAATTGAACAAGAAGACAAAAGATATCAAAAGGAGAATACACAAAGGAGTACCCATAGAAGGAAAAAAAAAAATCTCTTGATATTCTTACAGAAGTGTGAAAAAGCTGATACAAAGAACACACTAGTAGACAGATGGAAGATGAGTCATGAAACCATAGGAATTAAAGAGATAAGACCAGGGTTTGTTAACCGTACTCCAAACTGTAAGATGCATTACCTTGGGGCTGTGAAAATGTCAGTTTTCCCACTCTGGTTAAAATGACTCAAGGGATGGGACCGCCATAATTTTTTCCACGTTGCTTTGCTTCTTCTGTTCCTTTTTGCCAGCTACTCTGTTCAGCAAAGGGACTCCTGCTAGCGATTCCTCTTTCCCCATTATGTTCTCCTCCTGACTCAAAGGAAAGATTTTTGTAATGTGTTTTAATGATTTGCATAGCAACGGGCTCAGTATAAACACAGGGTTTTCAGATTTTTCTGGACACAGAAAGAAAAAAGATGGTTGGTGAGAGGTGGAGAAATCCTCCGTCAAACAGAAGGATACTTTATAATAGCAAGGGAAAGCCAGAAAGCTGGCCGAGGTTACTGCTTCTAGTTAAGAGTTGGGGTTTTTCCAAGTCTTCCTCCAGTGAGGAAGTTCCTCCTTAGTTTTTTCAGTACTAAAGAGAACACTTCGAAGAGACTAAATTTTTTTCAGGGTGAATTTAGGTTTCAAAGTGTTAGTTACTGACCGTATGCCACAGTTTCTAAAATTTTTAATTCTCGGATGTTTTCCTCCTACCAAAACACGTTTGTCTTTGCATCACTCCGTGGTGAATGGTACGTTTGCTCGGTGCCAAGGAGCTTCTGCTTGTCCTAATGAAGTCCAATAGCCTTTCCGTCTTGTCCAGGACAGGTCTGTAGCCTGCCCGTTCAGGTGGGGCTCTCTGCCCTCCTAGTGGCGAGAACTGTGCAGAAGCAAAGCCCTCGCTCTAGCCAGCACAGTCACTCCCCTTGCCAGGGACAGTCTTAGCACATCTGGTGCATCTGGCGGCCACTCCAGGGCGGTGGGCCCTGTTCCAAGCTCCCTCTGTCAAGTGGGTGCTTCCTCTATGTTTTCTGCACTTCGGCCTTCGTGGGGCTCCCTCCTTTTTAGGCTCACGGGTTCTTCTGTCTGTCTTCCACCTTCTCTCA